GTAGCACATTCAACCTCATACCCCTGTACTTGTAGCCTATTAGTAGTACTAGTAGGAATTACAACCGTTTTGCGTCTCCTTCAGAACAAGAGATCATGAAATTTTAGTGATTTTATAGTAAGTTACTGTGACAACTTTTCCCTTTTAGGAACAAACCAGTTTCATTAAAAAGTATATAAACCGATGTACAAAAGTTTTTAAAATGCACAAAGATTGAGGTAACCAACCCGGCCGTTAGGCCTACCGGTACTTATATATGTATAGGTCTACTGCAGGCAGGGGTGGCTCGTGGGGCTAAAAAGTGGGCGTGCACAATTACACAACAGCAGGTTGAAGATAGTCAAGGGCATAGTAAATGGGATGGTAGGATCTTTGGGTTGGTGAAGGAGAACCTTATGCTTTTATTTTCATTCTTTTTACTGGTCGCTTTGATGTCTAGAGCTAAATCTATTTGCTAGCTTAACATCAATTTCTTTATCCTGCATTGGAACTGAACACTCGTTATAACTTTCACCACTCCACTACAAAACCATTCAAAGGCACAACTCATAGGGAGGTGACTTAAGTATGTCACGTTCACCTCCCTCAGGTTCACGGTCACAGAGTCGCTTAAAATAGTGGCAAAACAATGAACCAATCACAATTCACTTGAGCACTCCGCTGGATTGCTCCGGGGATCACATAATTTTGGCATTGAATAGTTCATGAGCTATTGCGTTTATTTTTATACTGCCTACTGTTGGGCTATTTTTCGTGGGTGCACATTTGAAATGTGCCGTCTTAATATATTAATGTACCGCCAAACTCGCTTCGAGTGTCGTCATCGTTTGGGTTATCCCAAAGAGCGATTTATAGGTTAGATAGCTGTTGTTGAATATTCTATTACGTTTAGTTAAAGTGCATGGATTTTGGCATGGCATAGTAGATGTTTTACGGCGCTTTTGACACAGAAATGACAGTTACAGTGCCAGCGAGGACCTTGTTTTGATATTATATTTGGCTAGTGTTTGTTTCTGACTTCTTTTATTTCATGTTTGTGGGTGCTTTTCGTAATAGAACATAAAAATATTTTGGGCGGCACTGCACGACCGTGCTCTATGGACGAACCGCGTTTGACTGTTAGGTTAATTTGCCATTTACAAAAAATAAAAGAAGTTTCAAAAAGATATTATCTAGATTCTAGATAGGCTATAATGTTTCACATGATCGTCGGTCGTGGCAAGCAGGAAAAAATAAACAGGGAGTATGGAATAATTAGGAGACCAAAAACCCCCATGAAAATTACGCAGAGGGAGGAGACGTTTATTCGATACCTTTTAATATAAAAAGCCGATCTCGTTCCGATCAGGCAACTGACTGCTGGGACTGGCAACCGGGGCACGTCGCGGAAACATAGCAGTCACTAGTCACACTGACACGGACGTGTATATTTTCGACAAGAAACTGTCAAAACAAAAAGACTAGAAGACTTTTATTCTTGACAAATGCCCCCAAAGAAAGCTGCACCAAATGGATTTTATATGTTCATGCAAGCCCGGCAGGCTGAAATTAAAAAGCAGACTAAAAGGGCTCCAACCATGCGGGAAATGCCCCATATTTGCCGAGAAGCATGGAACGTAAGTAAAGATTTTTTTTAAAGATCCAGATTTAGAAATTCTTAATTTACAATTTAGCCTTTGGCCTTAGCCTAAGATCTAGATCTAGATCTAGATTAGATTCTAGATCTAGAATCTAGATCTAGTTTTTTCTTTAAGTAACATCCAGCGTTTACACTAAAGAGGCCAAGACGAAGTGACTATACTATTCGGACTCGAGTCCGAATTCGAATATGAAAAAATGTTATTTGGACTCTGATTCTTGTCCAGCATGACATCACTTCCGACTTCCTGTGACTCGTGACTCCGGCTTCCTGTCCTGCCTCACTCGTGACTCGCCTCAGGCTGGGTAGAGACCGGGATCACTTCGGGCAAAATGGCCTTAAATTGTGCTGGAGCCGAGTTTTTATCTTATGATGAATTTGAGGCAGGCCTGAAAAGTTATAGATCTAGCGCTTCTAATAAATGTTTATTTGTCAAGAGGTCATCAGAAGCAATTAAAGATGGCTCGTTAGCGTGTGTCGGAGAAGGGGGGGAGGGCACTATCTATCGGTCCGGGCGTTGAACGTCGCATACGCGTCAGTCCCCCCCCCCCCACGGCAACTGATCATTATTACAATATTAAGCTAGTCTTGACGCAGATCTACGTAATGAATTGTGCTCTGGTCTATGGAATCAAAAGTTGCCGTATGCTCGGCTCTACACAGCAACACAACTTTTTCTTGGTAAACAATCGAGATGACACAGGCTTTTATTGTGTATTTGAACAAATCGGTCTTTTTTTTTTGCACAGCTCATAATATGCAGGTGCCAGGTGATCTGCTAATCTTCAATTTTACCTTTTTCTACAACAAAGAAAGTGGGAAACATCATGTGGGGTGGGGGGTCGTATCAATGAGGCGGCGGGCATCGGATCGGCAGATTAGGTGTGGGGGAAACTAAAAAATGACGGAAAATTGGAAGCACCGAACGTTAGATCTATACTATAGATAGAACGAAGACACTTCCTTTTTTCCGGACCCGTGTCCGAATAACATTTTTTCATATTCGGACTCGAGTCCGAATATGAATTTTTTTTATTCGGACTCGAGTCCGAATATGAAAAAATGTTATCCGAATAACGATGGCCTTTTAAAGAACCATATTTCTCCTGGTAAGATGGTGATATTTCGCTGTTTTTTCTCTGTAGTTCCCCACCCCCTTTTATTTTGGCCTTATTTTATTCGAAATTCGCAAAATTGGGTATTTTTTGGCCTTCCTTCCCGTCTCACACTTAGCTACCAGTTGTCCTTTTTCTACTAGATTCTAGATCTAAATTATATTGGTGCACTTAACACGAATATCAACTTCATTTCCGTCGCAAATTTTCTTAAAAAGATATGCTTTGGACTTATATTAATCGCGGGGTTCCAGTTAAGGGCGAAAATCTAGGGGGGGGGTTTATACCTGTTTTAACCCATAGTTTTATAATTTACAGAGTTAGATTATTTGAAATTTTCTGGAATATAATTGATTTGGGACAATTTTAGTGGCTTTAGATCTAGATTTAGATCTATGTGTGATCTGCAGCAAACAGTACTGCAGTTTGACCCCAGAATCAGTGCATCTGTGAGCAGGAGTGAACGTAAAAATTTACCCAAAATTGAGCTGGATTTAGTGTTCGAGTAGTAGATCAAGATAGGTAAAAATACTAGATCGAGGGAATCGATTGTCAAAACGGAGTGTCTACGTACACGGTAATCGGGCACCTAGCTTCAGTGTCTACATACCCGGTAACCGGCAACTGGGCACGTCTGCCGTCGTAAGGGAAAACGACGAATGGTCCTGCGCAGGTAGCGAGGCAAATTTTTCAGGAGAGGCAACAACTGTTTTCACTTTATAACTATTCTATATAGATTTTTCACTCTTTTAAGCTGTAATTCACGAGATATCTGATTGAGGTGTTCATAAAGCAGTTTCTAAAGTTTGAATGGTTTAGGTTAAAAAGTAACAAAAGTTATAAAATTCGACATTCGTCGTTTTCCCTTACATTGCGCACCCGCAGGTGAACCTTGCGATGTAAGCGAAAACGACGAATGGTACGGTTCGTCGTTCTCCGTTACACTCGTGAACGTTTATGGGCGTAGGCGATGGTCAGTTGTGACGCATTATTGACATTTTAAAATGACTATGTACTGGTTACTGCAAATAAAAATAAGACGTATATATTATACGTATAAAGTTAGGTGTTATATATCTCAACTGAAACTCGGTAAACGTCCTTCTTTTCCCTTCCTCGCTTGGTTAAATACTACACAGTCAGTGGACAAATCAGATGTGCACACATTTTCAACAGCTTGATTTAAAACTGTCTCATTCGGAACCAAAGTTTGGTCTCCATGATATCTCTCTCTTGTATTCTCTTCAGAAGCGAGGTTTACTTTTATTTTCGCTAATTGCAAAATTTTCCCTGCACGACCAAAGAGATCAACAATGTTACAATGTCAATAATACGATCAGATCATTTCAAAGTCAAACTCTCACGTAAGAAATGGTACAATCTGACAAGACTGTTTCACAAACGCTTTTGGGAGAGGTAATTCAACGCTTTGTATTTGATAAAGGATTCAGTTGATCGGATCGGAAAACATACCACAAAGTAGAGATCGAGAAGGACAGATTGAATCTGCAAGACATTATAATACTCGATCATAACGTCCATCAAGTCATAAAAAATCGTAAAGCAATTTACTAAGTGTCGCCACAATATGTCCACTTTTTAAGTTGGACAAAGAAATTTACTCTCTTGACGCAGTGTCATTAATTGCTTGATAATTCTATAATGATGTCGACCAGAGACACGTGCTAGACCAATTGCGGCACTATAACCATCGTTGGGATTTAGGATGTCAAAAGACTGGACAGCAGACTAACATGACGTTAGTCTGTGAACATCTGGCGGACACTAATATGCAGTGCTAATAAATTTCTCCCTAAATACTTTTTTGATCCTTCCATCCCCACCCCTTTCCCCCTGTTCCCATCCGTTTTCCCCTCTCTCCCGCCTGCTCTTGTCAATTCACACCATCAGCATAGGCCTAATACGTGAAGACAGACAGAAAGACACACTAAGTGATACATTCTTATAAACCTAGTCGACTGAACTCCGGGGGAGGGGGTGGTCGTGTATTTGTTTGCAAAAAACCTCATATGTTTGTACTGACGCAACAGTGACCAATTGTCATTCGTCGCCCATGCCGAATTTGTCCAACGGCAGAGACCAGGGGACAATGCGGAACGAGCTGTGATCCTTGACCGATCGACCATTTGTCGTTCTCCCTTACACTGAGCTCTGGTTCGGAGCTCGCCAGTGTACGGGAAAACGACGAACTCTCAATTACGCAACAACGGATTAGGATATAACAAAAAAATTTACACCATTAGATGCATGCAGAATTAAATACTCTATGAAATATATAAAAATAACAAAATAGAAAAATTTTGACCATTCGTCGTTTTCCCTTACGACGGCAGACGTAGTCTCAGTGTCATGTACAGGTTAACCGGGCATGTAGCCTTAATATCTACATACACAGTAACCAGCAACCGCGCATGTAGTCTCAGTGTCACTACACGATAATCGGGCAGTTCAAAACTAGTTTTTGTCATCCGGTGTTGACTTCATCCCCACCCCTTCCTCGGCTGTACCTTTTAAAAAAATCAATACCCCCCTATTCCATAGCCCTATACTTCGCAGCGCACAGACTTTGATATGAACTTTGGTGACCCCAACCATACTCACAATGTGATGCGCACGCACAGGTTCGCTGGCCGGTCACGATGGCGAGCCCGACAAGACGCTTGTACGACTTTTTTTATCAGCAAGTGACAGCACAGGACAAATATTGATTTATTTTCATTCCGGTTACTGTGTACGTAGAGGTGCCTGGTTACCGTGTACGTAGATACTGAGACTAGGTGAGACTAGGTGCTCAGTTACCGTGTACATAGATACTGAGACTAGGTGAGACTAGGTGCTCAGTTACCGTGTACGTAGATACTGAGACTAGGTGCCCGGTAACCGTGTATGTAGATAATGAGACTAAATGCCCGGTTACCGTGTACGTAGATACTGTGACTAGGTGCCTGGTGACTGTGTACGTAGATAATGAGACTAAATGCCCGGTTACCGTGTACGTAGATACTGAAACAAGGTGAGACTAGGTGCCCGGTTACCGTGTACGTAGATACTGTGACTAGGTGCCCGGTGACCGTGTACGTAGATAATGAGACTAAATGCCCGGTTACCGTGTATGTAGATACTGAGACAAGGTGAGACTAGGTGCCCGGTTACCATGTATCTAAACTGAGACTGTGCCCGGTTATCGTGTACATAGACACTCCGTTGTCAAAAATAGGCCTTTGTTACATAATAAACACTACACCCAGACCTAGTGTTGTTAATTGCAATCATGAAGTGCGTCTGGGAAATTGACTGTCGTCCAAACTGTCGCCATTGTTGTTTTGGTCGGAAGTGAAAGTACAATTTGGTCAACCTGTTCTTAGATACACAGGCCTATTGCCAAGTTGAAAAGTGAACTATTTTCCGTGCCTTTTACTGTTGTTAAAGAAGTGTTAACACTCGATTTTTATAGCTCATAAATATTCTCCTACACTCACTTTAACTTTGAAAAGGGGATTCTAGGGAACTGTGGAGCAGTTCGTCTGCCATGTCACCATAAAAAAATTTGTTTTGAAAAAATTATATCTTCTGGTAAGGGTATAACACACAAAAAGAAGAAAATCTAACCCTCCTGTTCGTTCGTCGTGTTTTACAATCGTATCCATGCGACATGGGGAACTCTGTGCCACCGCTTTCCATAGAGGAAATTTACTTGTTAAACTAAACCGATCCGTACACTTTGCATAGCAGTCTGTCAGAATTAATTTTTGAGAAATACTGAAAGTTTCAAAGAGATCTTTGCACTAGAAGTATTCTTAAGTGTAAAGAATACAGTCTCGGGGGTACAAAATGACCCCAGGGCGTACACAGATGAGGTTAAAGATAACATTAGAAACTTGGTTGCTGTTTCATTCATTTTCTAAGTTCAACACTTTGCTTCCTGTAGATGAGTGGTTGGACAGGGTTATGACCTTACTGAGTTGTGCTCACCATAAAACTCTTAAGCCCCGGTTACATGCAACGATAAATAGTATCAGATTCGTCTTGTATGAGAGAATTGTCCGTTTTATCGAACTGTGTTGTCTGTTTACACGTACCAATCTATCGTCCAGTTTTCTATCGATTGAGGAGATTCCTCGTCAAAAGCCACAATGTCTCTTTGCGACTACAGGGATTTGCCTGCTATCTATGTGAAGGTTTCGAGCTCTGGACCTAATGAATGAAAGGCAAACACTACCTTTAGATCACAGAAGCCCCCCTCCCCCCTTCCCCCTCCCCTGTACATTTTGATATAGCAGAACAGTGTCTTTCGAAAAGGGTGGCCTTACTGTAGGCCTACCGTGTTGTGTGTAGGACCGGAAGCTTAGACTTGACTGCAGATGTGCAATGCACCGAGTGACCTTGATGCACAGCTTCACAATTATTGACGATCAACTAAAAAATTGCTAAAATATAAATAATATCGCACCAAATCAGGTTGACCGCGAGCAATGTTGCATATTTTGAGATGCTAATTCCGAATATGAAAACAGTTTTTACCTACGATAATTATTTTTAAAAAATTGAGCCCTGAGTTTAATTCTGCGCGGCGGCAAACTTCAAAGTGAATCTACTTCACAGCGCGTCTTCCCCAAATTTGACTGTGATCGCACGAAAAATATCAAGCAGTGCTTGATTTCTCGACCGAGTCTCCAAACCATCGTTCAATCGTCCAAATTTTGTACAATTTTGTGGTTACACCAGACGATTTATCGTATGATCGCTAGATCGTCCCGTTTTTGTACAATTTATCATTACGTGTAACCGGGCCTTAACCAAACTCATCTAAACCAAGCTATACTTGTGGGTGGTTGGCGGGTGCTCTTGTGTGGCTTGCTCCTTCTTTCCTATCAAACATCTATTGTACTGATCTCTCGTCCTCGTTCTTTTTTGTGTTTCTCTCTTGTAACACATCTAATCTTTGGCACTTATATGACCTTATTGTGTTGCAAGTGCCGTAAAACTCTTACAAAAACTAAACAAGCTATACTTGTTATTAATTAGTCTGTGGGTTTTTAATCTTACTTGAAGTAAAAGGTTAAGTCATAATTACATTCTGTTGCTTTGTTATTTTGTCTGACAACTTTTTCCACATGCCTCCTTTTTCCTTTATGTTGCTTTTCTTCTGTGTCTTATAAATCTGTTGGCAATATTACCTGACTGTATGTGGAGGGTAAAATGGCCTTGCATTGTATATTATAGAAATATATTTATAAAATGCGGTTTTATGAAGTTTTATGAAAGTAAATGTCATCATGTCATATGATTTTTTCTTTTTTCTCTAAGATTACTGTTCTATTCACAGGCTATGTCTGCTGAAGGGAGGGCGAAGTATGAAGACCAGGCGAAGAAGGCAAAGAGCAGTCAACACTCAGAGTATTCTCGCAAGGATGCTCTGAGACAGAAAATTTCGGTAGAGTAGTAAACAGTAATTGTGCCATGTATGTGACAAGTTAAGTCATTAATTGTTCATAGTTTGATTGACAGCAGAGGCATAGAGTGCTTTCAAATTCAGAGGTTTTAAAAAAATATAGTCAAATCATAATGACCAAGAAGTGTAACTTAGAATAGAAAAAAGAAATTATTTCCAGTTTTTGTCCGTGTCTTTTCCTTGTATACTTTCAATGTCGGGGGGACGGGGGGAAATCTAGTTTATTGGCCTATGGATAGGTATAATAAGCTAATATTTTAAAATGTTCATTCTTGATAGTTCTTTGGTTAAAGTGTAGAAGAAGTCTCCCGTCTTAAAATAAGTTAAAATTGGTCTCTTTTAAGGACAAACGGGTTTACCCAGATTTCGGGGGTTTCCAAAGTGGGCATTGACCTACCTATATGAGAAGTTTGGTTTCGTTGGTGTGTATATTTGTTTGGTTATAGAAAAAACTCTCCTTGTCTTTTAAAGAAACTGAACAAGGGGCAAAAACTTTACCTTCGATTTTCTCAAAACTGCATGTTTCGTGATAGCCCCCTTGTGCTTAAAAGCGACCAATTTTCCTTCACACATGATATCATGGCTACCCCGTGTTGGCCTTAAAGAGAGTAGAGACCCCAGATGTTCATAGTAAAGGTGAAGTAAGTTTCTAAAAGAGACCTTAACTAGACCTTTACCAATAATTCTTCTTCTGAAGGTCAGGGGGCTGTTCAGGACTTGTGTTTTGCTCCCGAGCATTCAATTCATCCGTATATGGTCGCCTTTTAGGACGAGTGGGCTATCCCGAAAAATGCAGTTCTGATAAAATCAACGGTAAAGTTTTTGCCCCTTGTTCAGTTTCATTAAAAAACAAGGAGAGTTTTCTCTCTATAACCTGACAAATATACACACCAATGAAACCAAACTTCTCCTATAGGTAGGGCAATACCCACTTTTGGTGTAGGTGAAAGTTTCTGGAAACCCCCGAAATCTGAGTTATCCCGCTTGTCCTTAAAAAGCGACCATATCTTCTCGTAGCTCCCCGCCCCTTTCCCGAATGGATAGATCATGAATGCTGTTTCACCTTCCTTCCTGCTTGCTTTTCAATTTCAGGACCGAATAGATCCTGTCAAAGAAAATGAAAAGAGGAGGCTGCAAGATAATCAAAACATGAGGAGCGACTGGAACGGACAAAGTATGTTGTTGCGTTGAGGAGGTTGTTTTCTCATACCTTATTAACATATTCATGTTGTTTTTTAGGTTTTGACATACTGAGACATAGCGGGGGCTCTCGTGGCCTGGAGGTTAAGGTGTTGGCCTCTCATTCAATGGTCCTGGGTTCGAAATGTGGGTAGCGACCGAAAAATTTTCTTCTCTAAAATTGTCTCCTTTCACCTCCTTTCCTGCTCTCTAGCAATGTCTGTCGTCTGCTTTCGTCTCCTCATTCTGCCCCCACCCTGTCACCTCCTTTGCCCCCTCCTCTAGGCTCCTGACTCTTTCTGCAGCAGCCTTTCTACTGCTACTCTTTGGCTCCTTCTTACTGATGTCTTTCAACCACACCCCCGATCTTCTGGTAGGAAAGATCTATATCTAGCCCTCTCGGACAAGGGCGAAAAATCTCGGAGGGCCTGAGTGCAAGTTGCGCATGTTAAAGATCCCTTGGTGGTCTAAAAACGATAAGAGTAGCCTTCGGCCGCCACCCGCGCAAAATTCAAAATTTCCTACCAACTGAAAAAGTTGAATGTGTCCCGCACGCTCATATGACCTTATGCAGTTGCGAGTGCCGTAAAACACTTACCAAGACAAAACAACAAAACAAAAAACAATGACACACGGTTTCGGTAGTCTAGTGGTTCAGCTGCCAGTCCAGTAATTGCGAGATTGCAGGTGCGAGTGTTTGAGGTTTAGCTCAGTCTGACGTTGTGTCCTTGGGAAACAATAATCTTTCAAAACCTAGCACCACAACAGACAGCCAAGAACATCATCAAATGCAACACCAGGGAACAGTGGCTGAATGGATGGGCAATGGGCAAAACTGGAAGAACTGTATTTGCACACATGACTGCTCCCGCCTCAAAAGATGCACTAAATTCCCTCAGTAGAAGAGAACAAGTCACGATCTTTCGCCTGTGAACACAACACATCCCACTGAATTCCTACCTTAATAGGATCCGCAAGGATACCCCACCCGACTGCCCGTTGCGTGACTGCAAAGATGAAACAGTATCACATAACCTCTTTACTTGCCTTGCACTTAAACGACCTGCGTTGTACCTACCTACCTGTCTCCCCAGACATCAGAAATACTCTTTACAGCGACAAAACACAGCTAATAAAATCCTGTAAATTTTTTGCCGTGTCGACAGGCCGAAGGGCTAGAACTCAAATGGCCGCGAAAAAGTAAAGTAAAGTTTACAATATATCTTCCCATTCTTATAACTTGCTGTCTATTAGCTTGTCTGCTCTCGGCAAAATGTAGTGGTTTGAATGAATGAATTGTAATTCTTCAACTTTCAGACTCTCTGTTACCCCATCGCGCCGGTGCTACTGACTGAAGTGTTTTTAGGCCATTCCCAAAGGGGGGACATTAACCTGTTCTTATGCACAGTAGAATTGTAAATGGGCTGATTCATCGATGTCATGCTATAACTGTGCCTGAACTGCAACAGGGAACTGCTGCCTTTTCTTTCCTAATCCTTACTATGGTCATTTTTCCTCAACTTCTTTTGTATATTTGTCACACTCTTGTAACCCGCTATTTCCAGGGTGCCTTGATAGTCGAAGCAGACTTTGTGCTGTTGAAGCAAGAGAGGTGAGCAGAGTAAGTCTGATTCCCTGTAAGGATTTCTCTGTTGACATCCACCCCTTGGCGCTCATATGACCTTATGCAGTTGCGAGTGCCGTAAAACCTCTACTAAAACAAAAAAGACTCTCTGTCTTGTATGTGTTCAGTGTTCTTTTTTCCTCTTGTCCTCTTTTCTCCAAAGAAACCTTTCCTAATCAGTTGGTGTCATGTTGGAATTTATTATTTTGTGGGCAAGGTTTGAATTCCCAGTGGGCATTCTTGGACTTAAATGAGTCTTCATTACTCTGTGTGGGTGGTTGGCGGGTGCTCTGGTGTGGTTTGCTTCTTCTTTCCTATCGAAAATTTATCGTCCTTATCTCGCCTTCTTCTTTTTATGTTTGTTACTCTCTTGTAACACCTCTAATCTTTCTGGGGCTCATGTGACCATAAGCAGTTGCGAGCGCCGTAATACCTCTACTAAAACTTAAACTTAAAATTACTCTGTACTCACTTAGCTTGGTCTTAATGGAAATGGAAATTAAAATCAAGAGTTCAGGCTCGTTACTTGACTTAATGGTGTTGAAGAAGCCGTTAATATGGTCCGTACTAAATACAGTTGTAAGTGGATGGTTGGCGGGAGTTCTGGTGTGGTTTGCTCCTTCTTTCCTATCAAACATCTATCATCTTTATCTCCCCTCCTTCTTTTTTATGTTTGTTACTCTCTTGTAACACTTCTAATCTCCGGCACTCATATGACCGTATTGTGTTGCAAGTGCGTTGAAACTCATACTAAAACTAAAGTCAATGATCATTATTGTGTCGATGTGCTTCTCCTTACTCATACAAACAAACAAGTTTCTTTAATAAAACAAACAAACAGGTCTCTTTACTCAAACAAACAAACAAACAGGTCTCTTTACTCAAACAAACAAACAAACAGGTCTCTTTACTCAAACAAACAAACAAGTCTCTTTAATAAAACAAACAAACAAACAAGTCTCTTTACTCAAACAAACAAACAAGTCTCTTTACTCAAACAAACACAGAAACAGGTCTCTTTACTCAAACAAACGTGGAGTCGGTAGCCTAGTGGTTAGATTGCAGGTTTGTGGGTTCGAGACTCAGTTCGGTTCGACGTTGTGTCCTTGGGAAAGACACTTTACATGAACTTCCCACTTGGCTCTGTCCTATCGGAGACGGACGTTAAACTAGGAGGTCCCGCCCCTTAAATAACCTAATAGTGTCGATAAGGGCGTTAAACTCGTACCATTTCACCATTTCAAACAAACAAACAAGTCTCTTTAATAAAACAGACAAACAAACAAATTTCTTTACTCAAACAAATAAAATTTTCTCTTTACTCAAACAAACAAACAAATTGTGGGTGGTTGGCGGGTGCTCTGGTGTGGTTTGCTTCCTCTTTTCTGTCAAACATCTATCGTCCTTATCTCGCCTTCTTATTTTTTATGTTTTTAATTCTCTTGTAACATTTCTAATCTCCGGCACTTATATGAACTTATTGTGTTGCAAGTGCCGTGAAACTCTTACTAAAACTAAAGTCAATTATCATTATTGTGTCGATGGGCTTCTTTTTACTCAAACGAACAAACAAACAAGTCTCTTTACTCAGGCAAACAAACAAGTCTCTTTTCTCGAACTGAAACTGAATCTGTACATTCTGTCGGCAGACCTCCTGGACATCAAGTTTCACATCATCAACTTCCAAGTGATGTACTCTAACTGGACTGTGGAACACCGTCTCCCCATGGAAGTCGGTCAGTGACCTGAGAGTTTTGGGGACAAATGGTCACTTTTAACTCTTTGAAGACGCAAATTTTGGTCCTTGGAACGTTAGAAGAAGCCTAACTTCGTTATCCATAGATTTTCCCAATATATTTGCTTTTTTCAGAGCCTTAAAAATACCCCCCCCCAAAACAAACAAACTAGTATACTATGAAGTGTTCAATCCTGTGTTTCTGGTATGTGTATGTAGGTTCAAAATGAGCCACAACATTGCCTTTGATCTATTTCTGGTCGGACAAATGAGTCTGGTACGCCCCTAAAGAGTTAAGGACGAGTGGGCTAACCCAGATTTCGGGGGTTTCCAAAAATCTTGACTTGCACAAAAAGTGGGCATTGCCCTACCTACAGGAGAAGTTTGGTTTCATTGGTGTGTATATTTGTTTTGGTCAGAGAGAAAACTCGGCTTGTCTTTTAAAGATACTGAACAAAGGGCAAAAACTTTACCTTCGATTTTCTCAAAATAGCATTTTTCAGGATAGTCCCCAGTTCTTAAAAGTGACCAAATAAGAATGTGTCATGACGGGGTGATATCAAGTGTTCGTCGATTTGGGGGTGTACAGAATTATATTGGGGGCTCTCAGACTTGCAAGCTTACAGTCGTGGGTTTGAGTCCCGTCTTTGATTTTTACCTTGATGCAACAGAAATAATAATCGATGCTGCTACCCTCTAACCGCATAACTGGAAGAAATAAGGCAACTTTTTTTTGGTGTGTTTTGAAACCGTATCAGACGTGGCTTTGAGGGTCGCTAGTAAGGACGAAGAATCGCCTTGAACTGTAATGGTGGCGTCTGTGGTCTAGTGGTTAGGCTCTCAATACTCTCAACCGTAAGGTCTTAGGTTCCATTAGCGTTAATTATTTATACAGTGGAGAAAACCCTTTTCATGCGCGCTCATATGACTTTATGCAGTTGCGAGCGCCGTAAAACCCCATACTAAACTAAACTAAACCCTTTTCATGGCGTGTCTTTCTATCTTGTTTTTTTTGTCTGTACAATTAAAATTAAGGAAGTTTTGGGCTTTTTAAAATGTCTGTAGTGACCAAATTACATACTGATTTTGTTATGACAAAAGAAATTTTAATCAGTTGCTCAATACATAACTATTTACTGTATACCTCAGCAAATCAGACAAAAGTTAGACCGACCAATGAATATTGATAGAAAGTAATCAGATCGACCAAATTTTATGTTAGTTTGAAACACACACAAAAAGTTAGATCTTTGTGCCTCTCTTGTAAAATTTCAATTTCTGCATGTATACGTTTTTCTGTCAGAAGGGGGCAGAGCTACATGGTTAGAGCATAAGTATCGAAATATTTTTTCCGTTATATGGAAGTTGAAATTTAAAGTTTGGAATGTTCTTGTTTACGCTGCAGTCAATAAAAAAATATGATTTTTTTTCAATGTTCTTACTTATGGTGTGGCAGAAATAATTTATTTTGTGTCAGACTTATGATTTAGATTAATTTAGAATCTATTCAGAAAAATCCACCCAGGAAAAGTTGAGCACCAATATTCAGGAGCTTGATTTTTTTGTTATTCATACAGAAAACATCTTACAAGTACTGTCTTCCGTTATAGCAAACTAAAGCTAAAAACCCCTTAGATTTATAAAAAAAGCTCCACTTTCTCTTGATTAAAAAAAATTTTGGAGCTAGAAAAGTTGTCAAATCAATGGTATTGCCTAGTCGTTACTGGGCTTTGATGTTGTTTCAGAGAAATTTTGATGTGAGTGTTAAGAGGCACACAGTTATGGTAAAGATGGTACCTCTTGAGTGTCAGATAAATGTCTTTATGTGTGTGTTTGTGCCTCTCAAGTGTGACCTTAACCCCCATGGACCGTAGGGTCATATTTAGCGCTTTAAATCAGGATAATGACTTATGAAAATAGTCTTGATGGACCATGATTCTGCATTCTCTGTCAGACTAAACTTTTCTGTCTAGAAACAGGTCCATGTTGTTTGGTTCAGGGTTTATCTTAGTGCTAAATACCTGTTTGTGTGTATTTGGTTAGCTCTAATCATCTTAGTGCTAAATGCTGGTATGTGTGTGTTTTGTTTCTCAGTGTGAGCGGCAAATGTCTAGGTAGGTGGGTGGTTGGCAGGTGCTCTGGTGTGGTTTTTTTCCTTCTTTCCTATCAAATTATGTCTGTTGTCCTTCTCTCTCCTCCTTTTTTTATGTTTGTTACTCTCTTGTAACACTTCTAGTCTTCTGCACTTATATGACTATTGTGTTGCAAGTGCAGTAAAACAGTTAGTAAAAAAAAAATCTTCGGCACTTATATGACTTCATTGTGTTGCAAGTGCCGTAAAACTCTTACTGAAACGAAAAACTAAATATACCTAGAGGTGTACATTGTCTCTGTCTCTCCAGGTATGATCTGCATCACCTTGAGGGACGGTCTAATCAAGGACATGCATCGCTTCATCAACCCGGGGGACGCGCCCGAAGGCTACCGCAGCATGGCCATGCAGCACAGTAAGTCCTGGTAGACTAGGGGAACCCTCTGGGCAGTGCCACCGATTATAGTGTCTTTAGGCCGTTCCCAAAGGGGGGACATTTCTCGTTCATGCACAGTAGAATTGTAAATGGGCTGATTCATGTCAAGCTCATAACTGTGCCTGATATACAACAGAGAACTGCTGCTTTTTCTTTCCTGATCGTTTCTATTGTCAGTTTCCTCTACTTCTTTTGTATGTTTGTCACACTCTTGTGACCTGCTATTTCCGGGGTGCCTTGAAAGTCGAAACAGACTTTGTGCTGTTGAAGCTAGAGAGGTGAGCAGAGTAAGTCTGATTCCCTGTAAGGACTTCTTTGTTGACACCCACCCCTTGGTGCTCATATGACCTTTTGCAGTTGCGAGTGCCGTAAAACCTCTACTAAAACTAAAAACTACAGACTTAGGGAGTGTAATAGGAAAAGTAAATGTTTTACGCCCGCAGTGACATGATTTAGAATGTGGTGGGAGAAAACTTGTGGGGCGAGCGGACAGCAAGAGGTCTTCAGAGGAAGACCCGCGCCCCCCCACCCCCCCCCCCCCACCAAAATGTTTACTGCCAGAATAGAAGAAAATGTTTACTGCCAGAATAGTAGAAAATGTTTACAGCAGCAATAACTCAATTTAGAATGTAGTTGTTGTAGAAAATGTTTACTGCCAGCAATAACACAATTCAGAATTTATTGTTATAGTAAATGTTTAAAACTTGCAATGACACAATTTAGACAGTAATTGAAATAGTAAATGTTTTAGGCCCCCAATGACACAATTTAGACAATAATTGACATGCACTCTCACACGCACACACATACGCACACACACACACACCAAGAGAGCACATGGCAGAGGCGGTAGCGTTGAATAAATGGGAAATTTTTCTTTTGAGCTAACTTTTCTTTTGGGTCAAGCTGAGCAAACACACCAGATCCGGGGGCTCTCGTGGCTTACAGGTTAAGGGGTTGGCCTCTCAATCAAAGGTTCCGGGTTCGCATCGGGATAGCGACTGAAGAGATTTCTTCTCTAAAATTGTCTCCTTTCACCTCCTTTCCTACTCTCTAGCAATATTCTGTCGTCTGCTTTGGTCTCCATTTTCTGCCCCCACCCCATCCTTTGGGCTTCTGACTCTTTCTGCAGCCTTTCTACTGTTTCTCCTTGGCTCCTCCTTACTGCTGTCTTTCAACCACACCCCTGATCTTATGGTTGGAAAGATCTACACCTAGCCTTCTTGGACAAGGTCGAAAAATCTCAGAGGTCCCGTGTGCAAGTTGCGCACGTTAAAGATCCCTTGGTGGTCCAAAATCGATAAGACTAGGCTTCGGCCGCCACCCAGGCAAAGTTCAAAATTTCCTACCAACTGAAAATGTTTGGTGTGTCCCGCACGCTCGTATGACCTTATGCTGTTGCGAGCGCTGCAAAACTCTTACCAAAAACCCACCCTAGAAAACCCACCAGATCCCTGTTCAACTTTGAGACATTGTAGGGAATCGGTTTCATCTTTCCACTTTGTTGGAAAGTTTTATATGCTGAAATTTTTCCCCCCGGGGCGGTACTGACTGAAGTGTCTTTGCCATTCCCAGTGGGGGGGGGGGGGGGGGGGTTAACATCTCGAGTTCTTATGCACAGTAGAATTGTAATTATAAATCAGCTGACTCATCAATGTCATACCCATAACTGTGCCTGAACTACAACAGAGAACTGCTGCTTTTTCTTTCCTAATACTTACTATCGTCGTTTTTCCTCTACTTTTTTTGTATGTTTGTCACACTCTTGTGACCCGCTATTTCCGGGGTGCCTTGATAGTTGAAGCAGACTTTGTGTTGTTGAAGCTAGAGAGGTGAGCAGAGTAAGTCTGATTCCTTGTAAGGACTTCTCTGTTGACATCCACCCTTTGGTGCTCAAATGACCTTATGCAGTTGTGAGTGCCGTAAAACCTCAACGAAAACAACGGCTGAAATTTTTGTTTTTTGTTTCTTCTTAGGTGAGCAAACACACCAGATCCCTATCAACTTTGAACATGGAGACACAAACTTCCGAGGCCTTTGGAAACAGATTGAGCAGTTTTTGGCTGATGACCTTGAAGATGACGACATACCCCCAGTGTTTTGCTTGGTAAGAACTTTGCTTTTTTATGGTGAGGTAGGGGGACCAAGTTTCTTAACTCCATCCGTACGTCGTGTTTTACTATCGTATCCATACGACGTGGGGAGCTCTGTGCCACCACTTTCGAAAAAGGTAATTTACTCGTTAATCCGATCCGTATGCTTTGCATAGCAGTCTGTCAAAATGATTTTTTTGAGAAATACTGAAAGTTTCAAAGAGATCTTCGCACTAGAAGTATTCTAAAATGTGAAGAATACAACCCCGGGGGTACAACTCAAAATGACCCCAGGGTGTACGGTTACGGATGCCTTTTTTTCCTTGATGAATTTCTTGAATTCCAGGAATTTTGAACGCTTCAACTTTTTTGTTTGGTGTACTCCATAAATGAGAAGAAGTTTGCTGTACTCTGGTTTCTGTCGCTTTTCGTGCTTTTTTTTCATCATTTTTGAAATTTTATATATTCTTGTTCAATCTTCTGCTAGGTCTCAGTTAACTTATTAATATAAAATGGGTTGTTGGCGAGTGCTCTGATGTGATGTGCTCCTTGTTTCTTATCAAACATCTATCCTCCAGACCTGCCAACTGCTCTGATTTTCTCGTAATTGCTCTGATGTTTTTATCATTTTGAATGACTCCAGCGGAATAAGCGAAACTCCGATTTTTTTTCCCTAGCCGAGAAAATGCCTAACACAGATCGGATGTCACGTCGATTCAGAAAATGGGTCAGGAAAACCCTTAACCCGTCGCCCGCTCGCTGCCGGCTCACCCCGTTGATCTACAGCACACAACACGCGAACTGAGTAACGTGCCTGCTGTAGATCTACGACACACAGCCCGGAGCGGGAACTGCCCACACTGTATAATTATGTACGCAGAAGGCCTTGACCTCTACTGTGGAAAACTTTTGTCCACGAACTTTGATGGGTCAGTTTTAAAAACAATAGCCAATCAGATTCCAGCTTTTATTTTGAGGGGAGCGTGCCTAATTACGTTGTCACGAGTGTCGAAAGTGACGCTATGATTTATCGCAACAAAGAAGTCCGTGCGTGTCGCTCGTTTACAAACACTCAGGCCTGGCAACAGGTCACATCATCATCATCATCAGCAATGCCTTTCACCCCTGGCAGGGTATAGGCCACATACAAGCTCCAACAGGTCACAAGTCAATGGTAATTTCCTGTTGACCTACATAGCGCCTTAGTTAAGAATTATTTTTTTTCTTTATACTTCAAAGTAAACATGAGAGCTTCCCGGAGATAGGGCTCCTATTTTTTTCTTCAGACTCCTATTTTTTTCCAAGAAAAATCCAATTTTTTTTCTGGTAGAGGTTGGCAGGTCTGATCCTCCTTTTTTCACCTCCTTTTTTTTTTGTTTATTACTCTGTTCTATTACCTCTAATTTTCGGCACTTATATGACCTATTTGTGTTGCAAGTGCCATAAAACTTTTATTAAAACAATACATTAAAAATAAATAATACTTTAGAGTTATACCCCTTGGGGGGCGGTGCTACTGACTGAAGTGTCTTTAGACCATTCCCAAGGGGGGGGGAATTTCTCGTTCAAGCACAGTAGAATTGTAAATGGTCTGATTTATGTCATGCTCATAACTGTGCCTGATCTACAACAGAGAACTGCTGCTTTTTCTTTCCTGATCCTTACTATTGTCATTTTCCTCTACTTCTTTTGTATGTTTGTCACACTCTTGTGACCTACTATTTCCGGGGTGCCTTGATAGTCGAAACAGACTTTGTACTGTTGAAGCTAGAGAGGTGAGCAGAGTTAGTCTGATTCTCTGTAAAGATTTCACTGTTGACACCCACCCCTTGGCACTCATATGACCTTATGCAGTTGCGAGCGCCGCAAAACCCTCTACTATTAAAAAAACCCAAAACAAAAACAAAAAAACCAAAAACCCCCCCCCCCCCAAAAACCCTGTTCTATTACCTCTAATTTTCGGCACTTATATGACCTATTTGTGTTGCAAGTGCCATAAAGCTCTTATTAAAACAAAACATTAAAAATAAATAATACATCAGAGTTTATACCCCTCGGGGGGCAGTGCTACTGACTGAAGTGTCTTTAGGCCATTCCCAAAGGGGGGGACATTTCTCGTTCTTATTCACAGTAGAATTGAAAATGGGTTGATTCATGAATGTCATGCTCATAACTGTGCTTGAACTGCAACAGAGATTTGTTGCTTTTTCTTTCCTAATCCTTACTATCGTCATTTTCCTCTACTTTAGTATGTTTGTCACACTCTTGTTACCCACTATTTCCGGAGTGCCTTGATAATCGAAGCAGACTTTGTGCTGATGAGGCTAGAGAGGTGAGCAGTCTAAGTCTGATTTCTTCGTAAGGACTTCTCTGTTGACATCTACCTCTTGGCGCTCATATGACCTTATGCAGTTGCGAGCACCGTAAATCCTCTACTAAAACAAAACAAAACATCAGAGTTTTAAGTGTGGGTGGTTGGTGGATGCTCTGGTGTGGTTTGCTCCTTCTTTCCTATCAAACATCTATCTTCCTTATCTCCCCCTCTTCTTTGTTATGTTTGTTACTCGCTTGTAACACCTTTAATCTTCTGGCGCTCATATGACCTTGCAGTTGCGAGCGCCGTAAAACTCTTACAAAAACTAAAAAAACATCCTCTCCTTGGTGCTCATATGACCTTATGCAGTTGCGAGGGCTGTAAAACCTCTACTAAATTTTTTTAAAAATTTTTTTGCGGCCCTTACATGACCTAATTGTATTGCAAGTGCCATAAAACCTCTACTAAAACAAAAAAAAACATCAGAGTTTTAAGTGTACACGTGTATAATATAAACTATTCTCTCACAGTCGTCGGAACGACAAGACGTTGAAACCTGCCTGGAGTACATCTACGACCGCGCGGCCACCCGCCAGCCGAAGCGCGTGAACAAGGTGTACTGTTTGGAAGACATGGCCGCCTCCTTGATCATGTTGGCGAAACCGCAGTCAGCAGAGCCTTCCAAGACCCAGCTGCTGGACGCCATGCAGCAAAACCGCTGGGACTACCGCTCAGACATCAGGTCGGTCACTTATAAAGAGTTGTTTTGAACAATGGTGAAGGGATTATTTGGTCGCTTTTAAGCACAAGGGGGTTATCCCGAAAAATGCTATTTTGAGAAAATCGAAGGGAAAGTTTTTGCCCCTTGTTCAGTTTCTTTAAAAGACAAGGAGAGTTTTCTCTATAACCAGACAAATATACACACAAATGAAACCAAACTTCTCCTATAGGTAGGGCAATGCCCACTTTTGGTGTAGGTCAAGATTTCTGGATACCCCCGAAATCTGGTTTAGCCCGCTTGTCCTTAAAAGCGATCATTTATAGCAAACGTGACTTCACAATAGCGTCTTTAGCCACTTTCTTCGGAGAAAGGATGGGTTGGCACTGGAGAATGAAGTGTCTGGGTGTGTGGAATTCATTAACTCTTATCTCCTGCAAGCTACTCCCAGCAGCGTGCTGCCAGAACTGCTGTGCTGGTGAGCTTCTGGCAGCAGCTCGGGCACATTCCTTAACTCTTTATCTCGGTGGCCTAGTGGTTAGGCTCTCGGACTCGCAACCGTAATTTCGTGGGTTCGAATCCCGCCAGGGGCCCGGCGTTGTGTGCTTGGGAAAGGCACTTTACACGAATTTTCCTCACTTCACCCAGGTGAGAATGGGTACCCGGCTATAGACAGCGAAAGATCTTGTCAGTTTGTTAGTGTTTGAGCGCTTAATCAGCTGCTTGCACTGTATGCTTCCCGGGAAGCTGATAATGTTTCGGAGTGCTCTATGGTCTGTTGGGGTAGTAATATAGTGTAAAATGCATAGAGCCTGCTGTAGAGCGGGAATATGCGCTATACAAATGCTATTTATTATTATTATTATTATTTATCTCCGAGGGGGGTAGACCCACTACACCGGAGCCCTTATTTGGTACTCAATCCAAAAATGACAAAAATGTCGTTGAATGGGTCATTAAATCGAAACAAATGAACTTATTTTGATAGTCTTCATCTAACGAACAAACTCTCGAAAATCAAAATCTGTTTTCCGCAATTGCCGAAAAGGAATTTGATGTCGAAGTCGTCGTAAAGGAATTTGCCTGAGCCGCTGTCAAGCGACTCACTGGCACAGTGGTTACGACCGCGAGCCGCTGGGAGCGACTTGACGGAGACAGAGAGTTAACAACAACTTTGACTTCATATTAGTTTTAGGCAATTCCTCACCTCAGAATTATTTTCTCCAAAGTGTACCGAAGTAAAGAGTGCACTGTGGACAAAATAGTTCAGAGGTGATGAATCACTGAAAACAGGTCTGTTTTACTGGTTACTGGGTGTTCTTTCATTAATTGAATGAAAAACTATCTAAATAGGTTCATTTGTTTTGATTTAATGACCAATTTAGTGACATGTATGTCACGTTTAGATTTCGTACCAATAGAGGTCCCAGCCCTGTGGCCCCCCCCTCCCCCCGCGAATTTAAGAGTTGAAAAGTCTGTGGATATACTGAAAGCTTCAGGAATTTTGTGCAATCTTATTTTCCAGAGGGGGCTCTCGTGGCCTAGAGGTTAAGGTGTTGGCCTCTCATTCTAAAGGTCCCGGGTTCGAATCCTGGTAGCGACTGAAAAATTTTCTTCTCCTAAAAATTGTCTCCTATCACCTTCTTTCCTGCTCTCTAGCAATGTTCTGTTGTCTGCTTTCATTTCCACTTTCTGCCCCCACCCCCTCACCTTCTTTGCCCCCTCCTCTGGGCTCCTGACTCTTTTTGCAGCCTTTCTACTGCTGCTCCTTGGCTCCTCCTTACTGCTGTCTTTTTGCCACACCCCTAATCTTCTGGTAGGAAAGATCTACACCTAGCCTTCTCGGACAAGGGTGAAAAATCTCGGAGGGCCCGTGTGCAAGTTGCGCACATTAAAGATCCCTTGGTGGTCTAAAATCGATAAGAGTAGGCTTCGGCCGCCACCCAGACAAAATTCAAAATTTCCTACCAACTGAAAATGTTAGGTGTGTCCCGCGCGCTCATATAACCTTATGCAGTTGCGAGCGCTGTAAAACACTTTACAAAACAAAAAACAATTATTTTCCAGAACTGAAGCTCTGAAGTTCGAAAATACAATGTGTTAAATCACTGTGCATCAGCATCAAGTCATCATTCATCATCATTGCCTTTCTCACCCTGCACCACGGACAAACTCCTTCCACCTTTCTCTATCCTGGGCTAGTCTCTTGATGTTATTCCATGTCTTCCCACTTTTCTGTACATCAATCATTGTTCTTGCTAATGCAGAAGCTCCTCCATCTCCCAAGATTGAAAAATAAAAAGCCACGTTTGTCCGTGTTTCTGTAACTGACTATTTTTACTGGGTTGGGTAGTTAACCCTCGGCGAACTGGCTCTTTTCGGGCGACCAGACCTGTTCACCTTTAGTCACCTCTTACGACACGCAGTGTCAGGGCAGGTGTATTCTTTGCTCTCCCATAGTAAAACTATGGAGCCCCCCACCTCCTTCTTTCTTTCATCCCACCATCCCTCCCTCCCTTCAAAGTTGTCTTTTTTGTGTGTCTAATGTTGTGCTCGTATTGCATATTACATCGTATTGTTTCTTTTCAGTGCTTAATTACGACCGTGGGTGGTTGGCGGGTGCTCTGGTTTGGTTTTCTCCTTCTTTCCTATCAATCATCTATCGTCCTGATTTCTTCTCCTTATTTTTGGTGTCTGTTACTCTCTTGTAGCACCTCTAATCTTCGGCACTTATATGACCATATTGTGTTTTAAGTGCCGTAAAACTCTTATTAAAACTAAAACTGTCTCTTACTTCATTCTGAATGACCATTAATGTGTCGCTGTAGTCTTTTTTACCCAAAGTATAGTTAGAATTTACGTTGATTTTTATATGCATGGTATGGAAGGCTCTGTGAAAGGAATGTGTCACGACGTGGTGGAATCAGGTGCACGTCAATTTTTGGGCATTTGGGGTTATTGGTATCATCTTAAAGCCTTTTCATTTGCCATCCTTTTTGTGAAAAAAATATCCATCTATGTAGAATAGAAGTTGAAATATTTGTGACTGAAGGAGGTCAGAGCTGCCTGGTTTCAGAGGTAAAATTAGCGAGGAAATGGTCGCCAAAGTTTTGTAACTTCTATAGCCTGAGAGTCCATGACTGAAAATTTACATTTTTTGTACCTTTAATCAATGTTTTTCAGTAAAATCCACACAAAATGTGTTTTTAAATTGACATAAAAGGTGTTGAGCGAAAAAAAGAAAATGAGAAAAAAAAAATGTAATGTTAGATCTAGCAGAAAAGTGGCAAAGATCACACACACTGTTGAAGTTTGCCATTTTGCCCCAAAACCCCCCCAACTAAAAGCAAAAAAACTCACCCAAAAACAAGATTTGCAGACGAAAACTTGCTATACATTAATGTCTGGGCTGGAACAGAAGATGAAATTATTTTGCTCTCTTTTTTTTGGCTTCAAGGCATACACATTTAAACGTAAGGTAAGGACCACTTTGACAAAATTCCTGACTTTTTAATAATCCCCCCCCCCCCCCCAAAAAAAGAGTAAGGAATGTTTCAAAATTGTTTGCTCTGAAAGTATTAATTGGTTACCAATGCGTACTGCAAAGCTTCCTAAAGGGGCAAAACCACCACGTGCAGCACGGAAATCCTTGGGGAATTTTAGCCAAATTTGCCAGTGGTCCTTAACTCATGTTGAAGTCTGTATTTTCATTGGGGTTTTTTTGTGCCTTCAGGTCATATATTTTCATAGTTTATTTTCTGTGCCTTCAGGGCATAGGCCTATATTATCATTGTTTATTTTCTGTGCCTTCAGGGCATAGGCCTATATTATCATTGTTTATTTTCTGTGCCTTCAGGGCATAGGCCTATATTATCATTGTTTATTTTCTGTGCCTTCAGGGCATAGGCCTATATTATCATTGTTTATTTTCTGTGCCTTCAGGGCATAGGCCTATATTATCATTGTTTATTTTCTGTGCCTTCAGGGCATAGGCCTATATTATCATTGTTTATTTTCTGTGCCTTCAGGGCATAGGCCTATATTATCATTGTTTATTTTCTGTGCCTTAATTATCATTGTTTATTTTCTGTGCCTTAATTATCATTGTTTATTTTTGGAGCCTTCAGGGCATATATTATCAATGTTTATTTTCTGTGCCTTTAGGGAATATATTATTATTGTTTTAGCCTTAATATATAATCATTGTGTATTTTTTGAGCCTTCAGGGATTATCATTGTTTATTTTTTGAGGGAGTATCATTGTTTATGATTATCATTGTTTATTTTTTGAGGGATTATCATTGTTTATTTTTTGAGGGATCATCATTGTTTATTTTTTGAGGGATCATCGTTTATTTTTTGAGGGATCATCATTGTTTATTTTTTGAGGGATCATCATTGTTTATTTTTTGAGGGATCATCATTGTTTATTTTTTGAGGGATTATCATTGTTTATTTTTGGTGCCTTCAGGAGGGCATATGTTATCATTTTTTATTTTTTTAGCCTTCAGGGATTATCATTGGTTTTTTTGTTGAAGGATTATCATTGTTTATTTTTGGTGCCTTCAGGGCATATATTATCATTCGTCCGTGTAAGTTTCTAAACGTCTAAGTCTGTTGAGGCAAATTTTACGGGAGAGACGAAAAACGTAATAAATAGTAAAAACAGAATGCAAATGTACTGCTCTTTCTACATCTTGTAAAGAATACTTCTATGTATACAACTGTCAATATGAAAATTCTTTTGTTTTTGAAAATTAATCATAAAACAGACTTACGTGTTTAGAGACTCTAAATTTGAAACATTTAAACACGTAAATCGAACCCGCTGACTTGCGCGTAATGAATTGGAGCCGAAAGTTTGTAAGCTCTACTCGCGTAAGTCTGCGGTAGGTGGCCGTGGTTAGCCATACACGTTTAGAGCTTTCATTATTTTAACATGTGGCTTGTGAATCATTGACTTACTTGTTTACAGCATGAATCTTTCAGTTTATTTATTAGAAAAGCTATGCAAAGAACTTTGAAGAAATAAGGCAGATTGGTTTTATAGATTCTAGGTGCATTTAACTTTGCAAGTAATATTGATTGGTCGAATTAATTAGTTTATTAACTATACATCTGGTTGTTATTATTCTTATATCCCAGTCCTTTCACACTTACAACACCAATCGACTGTAGGTCTATTATAAGTAAGAGGATTATGACGAAAGACAACAGAAGAAAACCCTTAGATTGACAAAGTGTAGCTTGAGTGAGAAGTAGCAAAGCGTACGGGAGCAGCCTTCCAATCACCCAACAAATTACGAAAAGGAGCCAGTTCATTCTTTCAAGCAAATTTTCAACTGTATTAAAGTAATGCTGTAACTGTTACACTAGATATAATATAACAGAACATATTTCATAATCAAAAAAACATATCATTTCAATATCACCGAGCAGAAATTGAAAATGATTCCGTATTATATCATTCAACCTCCCTCGCCCCATCGCCCCTTCCCGCCCCCCCCCAAAAAAAATTCCCTAAGAAGACTTATTCAAGTTAATGATCCAGAACCATATCAAATAAAGAACTGCCTGAAAAAACAATTATTGAACCGGTATTCGTAGCGGTGAGAAGGAAAAGGTGGAGCTGGATTGGACATGTCTTTAGAATGAACCCAAATGCCACTCCCAGGATAGCCAGAGGAACAAGAAAAGGGGGCCGCCCGCCGGAGACCCGGCAAATGAGCATTGAACAGGAGATGAAGTCCAAGGGATGGTCATAGGGACAGATCAAGAGATTGGCCTCAGACAGGGAGAGATAGCGTTCCACCGTATCAGCCTTATGGGCTGCACAAGCACCGTGAAGATAACAAGAAGAACATTTGTATTATAATTGTATAAAATATTGATTGCTTTGATAAAATGTATTGTTAAGGACATTCCCGATTCAGTCATGCTTCAACTTGTCATAAAATGCCCAACATTCCGATGGTATTGCTGATTTTAGTGCTTGCAAATGTTTGAATTTGGCATTTGAGATGCTCCTGCTGGCATAAAACAACTTCTTAGGAGTGGCAGTCAGTGCTGTAGACTGATTTCTTTTCTCTGGAAACTCTGACCATTCGTCCCCGAATCCAAGTTTATAGAGTATTTTTCCATTAGGCAGGTATTTCAGAGCCCTGATGTCAGTAACTGTAGCATCCCCAGCTTTCTTCCCTGGACGGATGCAACTAAGGGTTTTCACACCATCAAAATTTGAGAAGAATGTGTGAGACTCCGTTTTAGGCAGACTTTCAAGGAAGGCTCGCAAATGTAATCGCGCATCAGAGTCAGATGCTGGTCTCCGAGAAGACTCATTCCCTGTTGATAAGCCATCACCTGGTCCTCCGCAATGGTGTCTCACATATCGTACCATTCCTTGAGTCTTATTGAAGACAAAATCGTCTGACAGCAGACCCTGAATCTGCCTCTACTGGTTTTCAGAAAATACTGCAGGGACGCAGTCCTACAGGATGCTACAGAGGCTGCTTTTCTCTGTTTGGCTGGCACCTCGCGTACATGTCCATGCATAAACACACCATTCTCTGGCCAGGGCAGCGACAATAAGAAATAAAATGTTTCCTACCTCTCTTCTTCTGTGACATTCGAACACTGATATTACACTTGACCTTGCAAGAGCATCGTTCCCCCAAAGTTGTTCTATCCTTTTCAACGTTCTCAAGCCCTGTATCTCCTCCAGTGTATCCCTTTCCTTCATAGATTGCCCCACTGCACGTTTCTTGTGTTCACAAATCTCTCCCAGTTTTCTCTTCCAAGCTTTCTCTTCTTTCCATTGATTATTCTCACATTATCACTGTCGTTTCCATCACCACATGATTGATCAACAAGAGCCTCACCTCTATCTACACGTATATTGGAATCAACATGTTCGCCTCTCGGGGCAGTGACATTCAAATTCAAATCTTCATTATACTTGTTGGAATCAATAATTTCACCCATAGGATCAGTGACATTTAACAACTCAAAAGCTTCAATTCTACCATCATACATATTGGAATTTGCATTATGATTAAAAGAACATTTTCTCTGCCGCAATCAGCATTCACAAAAAGAGACCCATATCTACCATCACGCATATTCACATCATGAGCCTTATCTCTAGCATCACATATTTTCACATCAAGAACCTTTTCTCCACCATCATTTACATTCACATCTGTTTCTCCATCATCGTGTATATAGACATACTCAAATCAAGAACATTCTGAAAATGACTAGATCTATCGTCTCGCAGGTCAGCAGCAGTTTCATTGACAACATTCTTCCCAGTAGCCTCATTGTAATCAAAATACACTAAATCACTGCTATTTACTGACATGTCCAACAAATGATAAATGAGTAAATGATAATATATCCGAAAAATTGTCAAGTCGTTCATTCAGAGGGCATGTCCCTCTGATGAGTGAGGACGGGCATTTCCCTTAGAGAGGTGCTGGGTATGTCCCCTGGACTGTGCTCATGGAGGCTTCACTGGTGGGTTTGCTGCTACCTTTTTAGACAGCTGTAACAGTTTATAGCCTCGTGAAAAGTGGTTCATGACTGAAATATAAATAATAATATAAGTTATTAATTAAATGTATAATAAAGTATGCTTCTTCTAAAGTAAAAGTAATTTTGAATGTTTCAAAAAATAATCCCCACTTTCAATGGTGTTTGACTTTGGGAAACACTTATCTTATAGCAGGTTAAAATAATAATATAATAACGATCAATCCACATTGTTGAGATACATCTATGACTAATTAAAACCCAACAATTAATCAACATTGATGAGGTCTAAACCTGTGACTAACAATACTCAATAATTAATCTATATTATGAGATCTAAATGGTGTCAATGGGCTTAACCTTTCACATGAAAACTAAACGCGTAAGTCTTGACAATCTCCTCACAAGTCACCATGAAGCTTACTGAATTATGGGCGACTTTGTAAGCTCTAAACGCTGATGTCACAATGTATTACACAAAACAAAGATTTATTTATCTAAATAAACACATAATAATTTTGAAAAGTATCTTATATACACATCTTAATATGAAGGAAGAAATGGTATAACTCACCTGTAGGCTGTTACTTGAACCAAAAATGAAACAAAATTATTGTTTTGAACGAAGGTGCCGGGCTTGGACTTCTGCGTTTAGAGTTTCAAATGAAGGTGAAATCCTGTTACGCGCGTTTAGAATCCGTGACAAAAAGTGCAATTTTCATTTGTTCAACGACTTTAATATTTATAGAGTAGAGGAGGTAGGGGAAACCCATTGGAGTGAAATAAAGCCAAACTATTGTTTTCCAAAATTCTGGACTTTCGCGTTTAGAGACTTACAAGGATGCATTGTTTATTTTCTGTGCCTTTAGGGCATATATTATCATTGGTTGTTTTTTTTTTGTGCCTTCAGAGCAAATATTTTTAATGTTTATCTTCTGTACCTTTAAGGCATCTATTATCGTTGTTTATTTTTGGTTCTTTCAGGCCATATATTATCATTATTTATTGTTTTTTAAGTGCCTTCAGGTCATATATTATCGTTGTTTATTTTTTTAGCCTTCTGGGATTATCAATGTTTATTTTCTTTTGCCTTCAGAGGATATATTATCATTGTTTATTTGTTGTGCCTTTAGGGCATATATTTTCATTGGGTTTTTTGTGTGCCTATAAGGCATATATTTTCATTATTTATTTTTGGTGCCTTCAAGGATTATCTTTGTTTGCTTTTGCAGGTGTTTCTTCCATGAGGAGAACGACTGTTCTCACTGTGCAATATCGAAAGTTCGGCGGTTCAGGTCAGTGTAGAGAATCCGTTGAAAGTGGTGTATGTTGGTATGTGTTTATTTATACATAAAGCTGAAATTGTCTGAGACGGCCACCCATTGTCCCAGCAGAAAGAACTAGATACATGGGTGGTTGGCGGGTGCTCTGGTGTGGTTTGCTTCTTATTTCCTATCAAACTCATCTTTATCTCGCTTCCTTCTTTTTTATGTTTGTGACTCTCTTTTAACACCTCTAATCGTGTGGGGCTCATATGACCTTATACAGTTGCGAGCGCCATAAAACTCTTCACTAAAACTAAACTTGGAGGGGTATTTAGAACTTTGGGGGAAAAAACTCAACAATGAGAAGCTTTGAAAAGCTGAGTGAGAGAAATGATTTTCTAGTAATGTGTCTATATGGTCTGTTGTAAGGGTTGTCATCCCCTGTGAGCCTCAAATGTGGTCTTCTTCTTGAAACTTTGAAACTTGGGTAGTTGGCGGGTGCTCTGGTGTGGTTTGCTCCTTCTTTCCTACCAAACATTTATCATCCTTATCCCTCTGCCTTCTTTTTTATTCTTCCTCGTTCTCGATGACTGCAGCTAGACAGTCAGTATGATGTTGCACACAAACTGTGCAGTTCGCTTCACCTCTGAGAGACTGCCATAGAGCTTTCTCTCAAGGGGAACCACATTCTGCCACGTCTGTGTACGAAGGGTGGCGTGGCACGGGCAGTGCTGAAGGACATGGGGGGCATCCTCTTGGTCGTGTCCACATTCACAGATCGCTGACTCTCCCACTTTAATGTGCTTATGTGAGGCGTGCTGATAAAATGAGTTACTTCTCGCAATCCAAAAACGGAGATATAAGCCAAAAATCGACACTGGGGTCAGATTTACAGATTTTTAATCAATGCCACTTTGTTCAAGTCTACCGTGTCTTTTATCATTCCTTACTTACAAGTTGTACAAACTCCACCTACGAAGTAGATGTATTAATTTCCACAGAGCTAAAATCCGACGAGTAACTCATTTTGTCAGCACGCCTCACATATAGTTTGTTTTTTATGTTTGTTATTCTTTTGTAACACCTCTAATCTTCCTTCGCTTATATGACCTTATTTTGTTGCAAGTGCCGTAAAGCTCTTACTAAAACTTTTTTTTTAAAGTTTTAATTTTTTCCCCTCCTGCGTGTTGACAGTTTTTCCCTGTTTGATATGCTGGCAAGTGTTCTGGGCTTCAAGCTGACGGGGAACCACCTTCCTGACGACACCGCCACAGTCAACACCGTCTTTCACCCGGCCACAATCGGTCCCAGCCGGTACAGGGAGAGTGGTGAGTGAGATTGCTGAGCTTGTTGCTGTCGCTGTTGCTGTTGCTGTCGCTGTTGCTGTTGCTGTCTTCTGTCGCTGTTGCTATGGCTGTTGCTGCTGCTGTCTTCTGTTGCTGTGGCTGTTGCTGTCGTTGTGGCTGATGCTGTTGCTCTTGCTGTCGCTGTTGCTGTCTTCTGCTTTTGTCTCCTATGTCTGCATCCCCCTTCCCCTCCCCTTTTCCCCCTCCTCCAGGTTCCTGACCTGACTCTTTCTGCAGTCTTTCTACTGCTACTTTGAGGTTCTTTCTTACTGCTGTCTGTCAGCCACTCCCCTGATCTTATGGTAGGAAAGATCTAACACCAAGCCTTCCCAGATAAGGGCGAAAAATCATGGAGGTCCGGTATATGAAAGTTGGGCACTTTAAAGATTCTTTGGTGTTCTTAAAATGAATAAGAGTTGGCTTCGGGAGTAACAAACACATAATTGAAAATTTGTATCAAACTGAATATGATTAATGTGTCCCTCGCGCTCATAATATGGCCTTATGCAGTAGTTGTGAGAGCTGTAAAACACTTACCAAAACAAAAAAACATATGTGGATTCTTTGCGCCAGAATTTTTCGTATGTGTCATGTTTTCCTACAAGAACGCAGCCTGGCTGAATGATGTACAGTAAAGAATGTTTTTACCTCTTTTCCATGGGTGGTTGGCGGGTGCTCTGGTGTGGTCTGCTTCTTCTTTCCGATCAAACATCCTTATATCCCCTTCTTTTGTTATGTTTGTTACTCTCTTGTAACACCTCTAATCGTCTGGTGCTCATATGACCTTATGCAGTTGTGAGCGCTGTACAACGTCTACTAACTTCGCGGGGTGGTGCTACTGACTGAAGTGTCTTTAGGCCATTCCCAAAGGGGGGACATTTCTCGTTCTAGTGTACAGTAGAATTGTAAATGGGCTGATCTAACAATGTCACGCTCATACCTGTGCCTGAACTACAACAGGGAAATGCTCCTTTTTCTTTCCTAATCCTTACTATCGTCATTTTCCTCTACTTCTGTTGTATCTTTGTCACACTCTTGTGACCCGCTATTTCCTGGGTTCCTTGATAGTCAAAGCAGACTTTGTGCTGCTGAAGCTAGAGAGGTGAGCAGAGTAAGTCTGATTCTCTGTAAGGACTTCTTTGTTGACATCCATCCCTTGGGGCTCATATGACCTTATGCAGTTGCGAGCGCGGTAAAGCCTCTACTAAAACAGACAAACAAAAGCCTCTATTAAAGCTAAAACTTTCCTCTTTCCCTGTATGTGACGACAGGTTACCGGGACCGAGAGCCGTCGTCCTATGGTGGTGGTGGTGACGCCTTCAGCCCACCCCGCAGAGGCAGACGGGAGCGCTCGCCCGATTCTGTGTCCAAACTGTGCCCCGTGGTTAGCAGAGTACAGGTCAGTGGGTGGTAGGCGGGTGCTCTTGTGTGGTTTACTCCTCCTTTCCTATTGAACATCTATCGTCTTTATCTCCCCCCCCTTCTTTTTTGTGTTTGTTACTCTTTTGTACGCTTTACTTTACTTTTATCCGCCGCTTATACCCTTTTGGGTGTCACGGGAAGAAAGAGACGTCTCTCTGTCGCCAGCTGGAGAGTGTGGGTCAGGGGGATGCCGTGTGTGCTGTTGAAGCTAGAGAAGTGAGCAGAGTTAGTCTGATTCCCTGTAAACACTTCTCTGTTGACATCCACCCCTTGGCGCTCATATGACCTGATGCAGTTGCGAACGCCGTCAAACCTCTTCTAAGAGGGTTCTCATGACCTTGAAGTTAAGGTGTTAGCCGCTCTTTCAAAGGTCCCGGGTTCGAATCCGGGTTCGAATCCGGGTTCGAATCCGGGTAGCGACCGAAAAATTTTCTTCTCTAAAATCGTCTCCTTTCACCTCCTTTCCTGCTCTCTAAAAATGTTCTGTTGTCTGCTTTCGTCTCCTTTTTCTGCCCCTACCCCCTCACCTCCTTTGCCCCCATCTCTGGGCTCCTGACTCTTTCTACAGCCTTTCTACTGCTACTCCTTGGCTCCTTCATACTGTTGTCTTTCAGTCACACCCCTGATCTTCTGGTAGGAAAGATCTACACTTAGCTTTCTTCTGACAAGGGAGGAAAATCTCGGAGGGCCCGTGGGTAACTTGCGCACGTTAAAGATCCCTTGGTGGTCTAAAATCGATAAGAGTAGGCTTCAGCCGCCACCCGGGCAAAATTCAAAATTTCCTACCAACTGAAAATGTTAGGTGTGTCCCGCGCGGTCATATGACCTTATGCAGTTGCGAGTGCCGTGAAACCTCAACTAAAACAAACAAAAACACCTGTACTAAAACAAAATACTTACTTTGTTCTGTGATGTCAGATTCAGCTCTCCGATGAAGATGTTGCCCGCGACGCAGACAGTGATGAGGAGGGCGAGGACGACGATGATGATGTTTTACACACACAGGAGGTCAAGTCAACGGCCGACCGCTACCAACTCAAGGAACTGAGGCTCCCAAAGTCTGTCTGTGAGTGTGTATGTGTGGGTGTATGTGTGTGTGTGTGTGTGAATGTGGGTGGGTGTGGGTGGGTGGGTCAGTGGATGTGTGTGTGGGTGTTGATTTGTGTGGGTGTTGATTTGTGTGTGTGTGTGGGTGTGTGTGTGGGTGTTGATTTGTGTGGGTAGGTGAGTGTTGGTGATGGCTGGGTGTGGGTGTGTGTGAGTGTGTGTGTATGTGTGTGTGTATGTGAGTGTGTGTATGTGTATGTGTGAGTGAGTGTGTGTGTGTGTGTGTGTGTGTGTGAGTGTGTGAGTGTGTGAGTGTGTGTGTATGTGAGTGTGT